CAGTTTTTTAGACTTTTACGTTTTTTTTATACGAAATTAAATAGACAATAACAATCATCTCAAGGATAATGCAATAAGGGTCAACAAAAAAAAAGCAGAAAATAATACATTCATAAGTGTCTATTTGCAGACAATAAAATAATTTCAAATTATATAGCAATTTTGGTGGTGTTTGTCTGCCATTTAGGCTTTAATTTTCTTGGAATATGTAAAAAAATGGTAATTCTTGAGGATATTGTTTAACTAAAGAGAGAATTTTTAAATTTATTTTGTATACAAATTTTTAAAGCTAAAGTCATTTGGAGAACTCAATATTTTAATTATTGGAAATTTGTTCAAAGATTTATGTTTAAATATTTCCTGTTTGAGATGATTTTGAAATCAATTTTAAATGAAACTTAATTTCTCTGCCTTATTAAACTTTTTTGTTGCTTATTTAGTTTTAAATTGCTACATTTTGCTTTGGAAATGTTTGTTGTTTCCAACAATTTTTAAATTATTAAATAGAAAAAAATATATCTTCTTATAATGCTTTTAAACTATTACGTTTAGCTTCATTAACCTTAATGTTTATTTTTATACATTTGTTGTATTTTTAGCTTAAGGATATTTTCATAATTTTTTTCTTTTTGTGTTGAAATACATATGTACAGTTCGTGAGAAATGCTAAAGCAACTAGAATTTTAAATAATTTAACCATAGTATTTGACCGAGTTTGAAAGAGTAATCCACGTCATATCTAATTGAAATGCCTGCAGGGTCATAGGTCGAATTTTAAGAGATCAATAGTTTTAGTAAAATACTTTTGAAACACAATTATTGGGACGAACGACGAATTTCGTATAGCACGACGAACTAGTCGACAAAAATTCATTGCGTAAATTCGTCGAATGGAACACAATCAAATTATTCTTACGGCGAATTCGTTTCAAAATTTGTTTGTTCGAAATTGGAAAAAGTAAGAAAAAGGTACAAAAATTATATTTTTGTGAATCTTCACGATTTTGAGATAATTTTAACAGCTTTAAAATTTATTCGAACATTATTTCGAAATTGGAAAATGTAAGAAATTGGCCTCGAAAAGAACTAAAATTATATTTTTATGAATATCTCCAATTTTGAGATTATTTTAACAGCTTCAAAATTTTTTCGAACATTACTTCGAATTTTCGAACTTATATTAAATATTCCAACATTATTCCAACATGTCATCAAGTGTACTCCAGACTTCCAAATTTCAGACAATACGTGCCACGAGAATTGGTTTTAATGGCTTTAAAAATTTTTCGAACTTAAGTTTGAATTTTCGAAAATTTTATTTTTAGTTTTTATGGCCCAGAGATTATTTTAAGAGCATAAAAAATGTTTCGAACATAACTTCGAATTTTCGATTATAATTTCAAATATTCGAACATAATATTGTATTGTCATTAGCTGTACTCACAATCTCCAAATTTCAGCAAATTCGGGATACCGGAATTGGTTTTAAAACAATTAATTCGTCGTTCGTCTGAGTAAGAAATAGAAATAATCCTATCGCATAGTTCGTTACGTACGACGAATTTCGTCATACGCAATGATTGTATACATTTTCATATACCCAAGTGTGTTCTATTTCTGACGACGAATATTCGTTCCGAAAAATTCGTCGTTCGTCTCAATTGAGCGTATACTTTTATTTAACTAAAACTAAAGTTTCATATATTTAACTGTCAATTTAGATTTATAATTATACCCTACACTTTTACTGGGGACGTTATATTGGGTTTTGTGCTGATGTTTATAACGCTTGGCTTTCGAATAATTTTCTGAGTCGATTTATATATGTCCGTCCGTCCGTTCATGTAAACCTTATAATCAAACTACAGCTCCCAATTTAGAATATAATTCAATGAAATTTGCAACAATATCTCTTATTCTGCCAAGGACGAAGGTTATAGTTAAAAAAATTTAAATCGATCCATTAATTTACCTAGACCCCATACTACTGAACCTCCCGAATAGGGCTTTTGAGGTCACAAATATGTTTAATACTTATATTGGTAACCAGACAAAAAAGTAGCACAAGTAAGTTTTTTAATAACTTTAATGACCCTGCCTAATTTTGTAACGATCGGGTCTCACTTGACCCTAGCCCCCATACAAAGACAACTTCAGAAAATGAGTTAAATGCCCACAAATCGCTTAAAAAGGTTAAAAGGCTATACCCAACAAATTTTATGAGCATCGGTCCGCGATCCCCCCGATATAAAACCTCTTTCAGAAAATAAGTTTTTCATCAATAAATTGCTTAAATATAAAAGATAAATTTCTAATTTATCGAAATTGTAAGTCCTTCGATACCAAACTGTATACACTGGGGGTAGGCATGGACATCGAAGGCGCCTTAAATAACGTACATACTGATACTCTTATCCAATCTTTAGATCAGTTTTATATTGACCGGATGCTCAGTAACTGGATCATCAACATGCTAAAGAACAAACGTATAAGATGCGAGAAAAATGGTATTTCGCGGTACACTCTTTACTTAGATAACCACGACTAATAGCCTTCTAAGGGCCCAAACCGAAACAAGATTTAAATCTGCCTTAATACTTGTAAGGATAAAGGATCCAAATTACTTGTGTAGAAGGGCTGACGAGGCCATGAACTGAGCTCAACCTTAAACAGGGCTCAACACAGAAATTGTTTACCTAATCGCAGCACTAGCTTGAAGACAGAAGTTCGAGCAATAACGGAATACGTAAAATGGATTAGAATAAATATGGCGCCAACAGGGCTTAACATATTTACCGACAACCAGAAGCAATAAGGGCGCTGTCAGGTGATAAAGTTAAATCTAAGACAGTATTGGATTGCAAGAAAGCTCTAACCGAATACTCTCCCAGAGGTAAGGTTTACGTTATACGGATACCTAGTCAGTCGGGAGTGGTCGGCAACGATGATCCTATGGCGTGACCCTAACAAGATCAAGACGAGAACCCTCCTCAAAATGAGCATGTCAGAAGTTAGTATGATGGTACATATTCTGAGTGGACGCACAGGATTACTGGTACAGTTATATAAAACTCAGGCAAATGTAGATCATATAGAGAGGACAGTGAAACTCTGGAGCACATACATATCTGTCAGAGACTCTGGAAAGGATCACACAATATGCCCGAATCACTTTAGTACACCGATTGCTCACCTAAGCTAATGGTGAAGGTGGTTTTCAACGTGCGAGAGATAGCTTGTGCGGTTCAGAAGTGGTGAAGACCATGAATCGGTGGCATTACTCAATGGCAGATTGTTATGACACTAAACAAGAGTTATTCAAGCAGCAATTTAAAAATACTTGCGAATAGTAGGATTCATCAAAAATGCTGCTTGATCGAGGCCAAAGCCGAATATCGATAGCTCTAAGTTGGTTCGTTTAAAACGAACCTAGAACAAGAGCACATAATAGCCTAATAAACCATCATGGTAGTGCTCTAAATTATGTTGCGATACTTAATAAAATCTATTTATAAAAAAGTTATTGGCAATTGGCAATAACTTGGCAGACTACTAATTGGTTTCCACCGTTCTTTTTTTGCGGATTCCAATTGATCAAAAATATGGAAATGGTTGCTATCAAAAATATTGTACAAAGGATTCAAAAGCTAAGATTTTTCTTAAAAAGCATTAATTTTAATTCAAATTAAAGTTCAACATTTGAGTTTCCCTAAGCTGAATTAAAATTTTTGACAACTAAATTAAAAATTAGTTTGAAAGTTTAGCTGAATTGAAGATTTTGATAATTTAGATTAGCTGAATTAGAAAAATTTTAAATTTACAATCAATTACGTACAAATAAGCTATAAAATTTATATTCAGCTTTGCTGAATAACTTATTTATTAGCTGAATTGAGAATTTCAAGCAAAAAGGTGTGTTAGAGATTTAAGAGGTTCACTGAATTAAATATTTCTTAAGCTGAATTAAAAATTCCCTAGAAAATATGAAAATTTTTGAAATGTTCATTAGCTGAATTAAAGATTTTGTTTTAAAATTTAAAATTAAATATCAACTATATATAAATATACTATAAAATCTGTATTCAGCTGTGCTGAATAAGTTTTTTATTAGCTGAATTGCCAAATTCAAGCAGAAAAGTTTGTTAGAGATAAGTTCTCTGCAGATAAATTGTTTTATTTTAAGCTGAATTGAAAATTTTGCAGATGAATTAAAAATCTGTTTTGGGAAGTTTTGCTGTATTGAACATTTTTTTAAAATTTCATTAGCTGAATTAAATTTTTTGTTCTAAAATTTAAAACTTACAATCACTTATGTCTAAATAAGCTATAAAATTCACATTCAGCTGTGCTGAATTACTAAATTATTAGCTGAATTGAAAATTTCGAGTACAAACTATGGTTAGACAAAAATTGCTAAAATTATGGACCAAATTTCCTTATATTTATACTATGACTCGCTCCTATAGATAACCTTATCTTTAATAACGAAGTGTATAAAGTAAATAAGTTCCATTAAAATTCAGTAGTTGAAATCACGCATCATTTAGCAACTATAAGTAAAAATAAATTTTACCCCAGAAAACAAAATTGTTGCTTCGTTTCTTAATAGAAAATAAAAATATCAAAAAAAAAAAAAGGAAAAGGATAATAACTACTAAATAATGCCATGTGTTAGACACTAACAAAAAAGGAAACTAAATTTACTATAAAGGGCCAAATTCACTATAGAGCCGACAGTATAATACTCTACACCAAGTATGCTCCAAATCCCTCTTCAGATCCACTTTATATATGCAAGTCCTTCAATCTTGCATATAAAGTCTACATTGCCAACCAGCCGGACGGACATAGCTTAATCAACTCAGAAACTGAGGGGTCGCTAGATTGGTCAGCACAAACGCATAATATCTTCCCCACCATAATGGTGTAGGGTGCCGAAATAACAAATAAATTAAAAAAAAAACTTCAACTTAAATCTTTTAAAATTTCATTAAACTTACACTCAGAGATTTAAAGAGCGGCATTGTTTGGGGTCCCAAAATGAATAACATATAATCGGAGCGTGAACAATTAAAGTTTGGATTTTCTGGATGACATTCATGCATGTCATCATAGTAATTGCTATCATCAGCTAATTTTGTATTTTCTCCAATGAGATCAGCATTTAGTATAAATGGAGAGGAGGATGCTGATGATAACATCGTGGAGGTGGTACTACTAGTGGTGGTGTTGATGATGTTGTTGTCGTTGGCAGGATTTGAAAAATTTGTAAAACTGCTACTGCTGCTGTCGCCAAATAATGACGACGACGACAATGATGGTATGGTATAATTTAAAATACTATCGGTGGGTGGAAACAATGTGGTTGTGGTTTCATTGCTGATACTACTGGTTAAATTTGCGGCAGTTGTTGCTATTGTTGTTGTCAACCATTGTGTGGCATAATCAACAACAGCCGCCGTGGCATTCACTACCAAATCCGTGAGCAACATTGTTGTGTCCGTGGTGTCATTTTGTTGTTGGCTCGCGTAGGCAGACGATGACGACGTTGTAATGGCGGAGTAGGAGGAGGACAATAGCAGATTATCATTATTAGTGTTATTACTTTGATTAACATTTTCTATTATATTTGTTATTGTGGCTGTCGCATTTAAATTGTTCACATCAAACATTTCAATCATATTTTGTTTGGGGGGGCGGTTTTTTTCTTGTTACTTTTTGTGTTTTAGTACTTTTGTGCTGGTCTTGTGTAAATTATCTGATATTTCTTGGAAATTCTTTTCTTTTCTTCACTTTAACATTTTAGCTTTATTCGAAATAGCTTTGGGTTATGTTTATTTTGTTTTTCTCATTCAAAACTTTATCTTGTTGAAACTTCTAGGAAATTTTCTGAAAGTAGAGATTGAGAGAAAAATACATTAAATTAAGAAATTTATTAAAGGCGGCTTTTTATTATATCTAAAACTTAATTTTTTCTTAAATTTCTTAAAGAATTAACTTTTCATATTAAAGCTTTTCGCTATTAATGACATTTGTGATTTATAATCTATTGTTTCATATACCAGTTTTCATGCAAATTTTATAAGACGAATATATAAGTACATAATTTTTGATATCAGTAAATCAATGCAATGTCAGCTGTAAAATTGCAGTAGAAGTGATATAATTACACCAGCCGACAAATAATTTTTGATCCAACGCAGCTCAATTCTTTCGAAAAGTAAACTTTGGTTTGTAAGTTAAAATTCGTAGACCTGTGTTATTTAAACTAAGGTTATCGACACGTATATTTTATCCTAAACAAATAATGGAAAGGGCGTTCAGAAGTCTGTCAATTCAGATTCCTACAAGAAGTAACTACTGAGGAATACGACTATCTAAACTAACTAACTAACTAACACTAACTAACTAACTACTAACTAACTAAACTAACTAACTAATAACTAACTAACTAACTAACTAACTAACTAACAACTAACTAACTAAACTAACTAACTAACAACTAACTAACTAACTAACTAACTAACTACTAACTAACAAACTAACCTAACTAACTAACTAACTAACTAACTAACTAACTAACTAACTAACTAACTAACTAACTAACTAACTAACTAACTAACTACTAACTAAATAACTAACTAACTAACTAACTAACTAACTAACTAACGAACTAACTAACTAACTACTAACTAACTAACTAACTAACTAACTAACTAACTAACTAACTACTAACTACTAACTAACTAACTAACTAACTAACTAACTAACTAACTAACTACTAACTAACTACTAACTAACTAACTAACTAACTAACTAACTAACTAACTAACTAACTACTAACTAACTAACTAACTAACTAACTAACCTAACTAACTAACTAACTACTAACTAACTAACTAACTAACTAACTAACTAACAACTAACTAACTAACTACTAACTAACTAACTAACTAACTAACTAACTAACTAACTACTAACTAACTAACTAACTAACTACTACTAACTAACTAACTAACTAACTAACTAACTAACTACTAACTAACTAACTAACTACTAACTAACTAACTAACTAACTAACTAACTAACTACTAACTAACTAACTAACTAACTAACTAACTAACTAACTACTAACTAACTAACTAACTAACTAACTAACTACTAACTAACTAACTAACTAACTAACTAACTAACTAACTAACTAACTAACTACTAACTAACTAACTAACTAACTAACTAACTAACTAACTACTAACTAACTAACTAACTAACTAACTAACTAACTAACTACTACTAACTAACTAACTAACTAACTAACTAACTACTAACTACTAACTACTAACTAACTACTAACTAACTAACTAACTAACTAACTACTAACTAACTAACTAACTACTAACTAACTAACTACTAACTAACTAACTAACTAACACTAACTAACTAACTAACTAACTAACTAACTAAACTAACTAACTAACTAACTAACTAACTACTAACTAACTAACTACTAACTAACTACTAACTAACTAACTAACTAACTAACTAACTAACTAACTAACTAACTAACTAACTAACTAACTAACTACTAACTAACTAACTAACTAACTAACTAACTAACTAACTAACTAACTAACTAACTAACTACAACTAACTAACTAACTAACTAACTAACAACTACTAACTAACTAACTACCTAACTAACTAACTAACTAACTACTACTAACTAACTAACTAACTAACTAACTACTACTAACTAACTAACTAACTAACTAACTAACTAACTAACTAACTAACTAACTACTAACTAACTAACTACTAACTAACTAACTAACGAACTAACTAACTAACTAACTAACTAACTACTAACGAACTAACTAACTAACTAACTAACTAACTAACTAACTAACTAACTAACTAACTAACTAACTAACTAACTAACTAACTAACTAACTAACTAACTAACTAACTAACTAACTACTAACTAACTACTAACTAACTAACTAACTATAACTAACTAACTAACTAACTAACTAACTAACTAACTAAACTAACTAACTAACTAACTAACTAACTAACTAACTACTACTAACTAACTAACTACTAACTACTAACTACTAACCTAACTAACTAACTAACTAACTAACTAACTAACTAACTAACTAACTAACTAACTAACTAAACTAACTGACTAACTAACTAACTAACTAACTGACTAACTAACTAACTAACTAACTAACTAACTAACTAACTAACTAACGAACTAACTATCTAAGTACTACTTCGGATTTTTAATAAAGTCTTTGAAATCGGATGGGAAATGACAAATATATGGCTCACGAATTTACCCCTTTTTGAGCGCCCATAGCGCTACCTCCTCCCCTAGAGGAGGTGAGGGGTCCATTCACAATACTTTTTGGCTACGACTATGTACAAATTTATCCCGATTGAACAATCCGTTTTGAAATGGCAGATTTTTTCAAAAAATTTCTATTCTGACCCACTGCGCAATGTACTTTTATAATATTATTTCTTGATTTAATAGATTTACATATGGTTGATTAAAAACTTACAATTTATTTTATAAATATTTAAACGCTGAAGTGTATATGAATATTATATGTATAACACGTTTGCTATTAATTATTATTGAAGGTTAGTTATTAATTTATTAAAATATTTCAAAACACTTCTCTAGAAATAACACTTTATTTAAGTAAGACTTTTCAAAAATTATTATTTTTTTTGGTAACTAACACTTTAAAATTGTTTTTCTTCTTAATTTTTTATGGAAATTTTTTAATTTCAAAGATAAAGATTTTTTATATTTTTTTTATATAAATTCCAGCTTGATATTTATAGCATTAATGAAATTTATTGAAAACAATATTCACTTAAAAAATCGAACAACAACAAAAAAAGCCAACATTTACGCGTTTTAATTTCACATACTAAAAGTATTCATTGGTTTTACTACAATTACCGTGAAAAAAATCAAAAAGCAAAAAATTAAATTACAAAAAAATAACGATAAATTAACAACGAAATTGGGTGAAAATTGTGCAGAATCAACGAGCGAGCGTAAAAGCGGACTGTGGTTATCGTAGAAACTGTAAAAGCGGACGGTTAGTGGATGTGGTGGGTGGTTGTTTGAGTTTGAATATGTGTGATTGTGTGTATATGAACGAATGAACAATAATTAAACAAATGAATGTTTAAACAATAAAAAAAAAATGATGTTTAATACTGCAGTAATTTCACTTTATCTCTCACTATCTCTAACGTTAGCTACACACAGCGAGATACACTGGCGATGAAGAGATGAAAAATAGTACAAATAAATTAAAAAAATATAAAATAAAATTTAAAGCGTAATTTAAACTCGTACATATATTGTTTATTAAACGAGTAATAAAAATTAATCAAATTTAACTGAATCAGTAATACCGCAATATGAAACTACAAATTACTTTTTATTTCTACTTTTTTATATGATTTTAAAACACTGTGTTCCCTCTACATGTTAAAGATAAAAAAGTTTTATATTGAGAAATGATAACAGAGTGGCAAATTGAATTGAAAAATTAAAGAGATATATTTTATTCACTAGTATGTAATGAATTCAACTATTTATTTAATTTAGTTGTTTTTATGTAAATGCGTTAAAATTCATTTCCAAGCGTAATATTATTAATTTGCTTGCAATTGAAAATCTTACTGCCACCAGTTATAGTCTAGACTAATAATTTTATCCAAGAGTATTAAGTAAATTTCCTCTAACCTTGAAGAAGTAAAATAAATATTTTATATATTCGAAGATCACAAATAAAATTTTAGCAAAATTTCAAACAAATATAGTCCAGCCCACAGACGACTTTGTAGTTCAGTGTAAAAACTACAGGGTCGTTTTTAGACTATAGACGACTCTCTCTGTATTCCAGACTATAGACGACATTACAGTGCAGATTATATACTACTCTATAGTCAAGATAATAGACTACTCTTTAATATAGACTATAGACGACTCTATAGTCCAGCCTATATTCGACACTATAGTCCAGACTATATACGACTCTATAGTCCAGACAATAGACGACTCTATAGTCCATACTATAGATGACTCTATAGTCCAAACTATAGACGACTCTATAATCCAGATTAAGGACGACCATATTATAGACGACTCTACAGTCCAGACTATAGATTACTCTACAGTCCAGACTATAGATTACTCTATAGTCCAGACTATAGACTACTCTATAGTCCAGACAATAGATTACTCTATAGTACATACTGTAGAACACTCTATAGTCCAGACTATAGACTACTCTATAGTCCAGATTATAGACTACTCTATAATCCAGACTATAGACTACTCTATAGTCCAGACTATAGACCATTCTATAGACCTGACTATAGACTACTTTATAGTCCAGACTATAGACCACTCTATAGTCCAGACTATAAACTACTCTATAGTCCAGACTATAGACTACTCTATAATCCAGACTATAGACTACTCTATAGTCCAGACTATAGACTACTCCATAGTCCAGACTATAGACTACTCTATAGTCCAGACTATAGACTACTCTATAGTCCAGACTATAGACTACTCTATAGTCCAGACTATAGACTACTCTATAGTCCAGACTATAGACTACTCTATAGTCCAGACTATAGACTACTCTATAGTACAGAAAATAGACTACTCTATAGTCCAGACTATAGACTATTCTATAGTCCAGACTATAGACTATTCTATAGTCCAGACTATAGACTATTCTATAGTCCAGACTATAGATTATTATATAGTCCAAACTATAGACTACTCTATAGTCCAGACTACAGACTACTCTATAGTCCAGACTACAGACTACTCTATAGTCCAGACTATAGACTATTCTATAGTCCAGACTATAGACTATTCCATATTCCAGACTATAGATTACTCTATAGTCCAGACTATAGACTACTCTATATTCCAGTCTATAGACTACTCTATAGTCCAGACTATAGACTATTCTATAGTCCAGACTATAGATTATTATATAGTCCAAACTATAGACTACTCTATAGTCCAGACTACAGACTACTCTATAGTCCAGACTATAGACTACTTTATACTCCAGACTATAGACTACTTTATAGTCCAGACTATAGACTACTCTATAGTCCAGACTATAGACTACTCTATAGTCGAGACTATAGACTACTCTATAGTCCAGACTAAAGACTACTCTATAGTCCAGACTATAGACTACTTTATAGTCCAGACTATAGACCAGACTATAGTCCAGACTATAGACTACTCTATATTCCAGACTATAGACTACTCTATATTCCAGTCTATAGACTACTCTATAGTCCAGACTATAGACTACTCTACAGTCCAGAAAATAGACTACTCTATAGTCCAGACTATAGACTATTCTATAGTCCAGACTATAGACTATTCTATAGTCCAGACTATAGATTATTATATAGTCCAAACTATAGACTACTCTATAGTCCAGACTACAGACTACTCTATAGTCCAGACTATAGACTACTTTATACTCCAGACTATAGACTACTTTATAGTCCAGACTATAGACTACTCTATAGTCCAGACTATAGACTACTCTATAGTCGAGACTATAGACTACTCTATAGTCCAGACTAAAGACTACTCTATAGTCCAGACTATAGACTACTTTATAGTCCAGACTATAGACCAGACTATAGTCCAGACTATAGACTACTCTATATTCCAGACTATAGACTACTCTATATTCCAGTCTATAGACTACTCTATAGTCCAGACTATAGACTACTCTACAGTCCAGAAAATAGACTACTCTATAGTCCAGACTATAGACTATTCTATAGTCCAGACTATAGACTATTCTATAGTCCAGACTATAGATTATTATATAGTCCAAACTATAGACTACTCTATAGTCCAGACTACAGACTACTCTATAGTCCAGACTATAGACTACTTTATACTCCAGACTATAGACTACTTTATAGTCCAGACTATAGACTACTCTATAGTCCAGACTATAGACTACTCTATAGTCGAGACTATAGACTACTCTATAGTCCAGACTAAAGACTACTCTATAGTCCAGACTATAGACTACTTTATAGTCCAGACTATAGACTGGACTATAGAGTAGTATATAATCTGGACTATAGAGTAGTCTATAGTCTGGACTATAAACTACTCTATAGTCCAGACTATAGACCACTCTATAATCCAGACTATAGACTACTCTATAGTCCAGACTATAGACTACTCCATAGTCCAGACTATAGACTACTCCATAGTCCAGACTATAGACTACTCTATAGTCCAGACTATAGACTACTCTATAGTCCAGACTATAGACTACTCTATAGACTATAGACTACTCTATAGTCCAGACTATAGACTACTCTATAGTCTAGACTATAGACTACTCTATAGTCCAGACTATAGAATACTCTATAGTCCAGACTATAGACTACTCTATAGTCCAGACTATAGACTACTCTATAGTCCAGACTATAGACTACTCTATAGTCCACACTATTGACTACTCTACAGTCCAGAAAATAGACTACTCTATAGTCCAGACTATAGACTATTCTATAGTCTAGACTATAGATTATTCTATAGTCCAGACTATAGACTATTCTATATTCCAGACTATAGACTATTCCATATTCCAGACTATAGATTACTCTATAGTCCAGACTATAGACTACTTTATAGTCCAGACTATAGACTACTCTATATTCCAGTCTATAGACTACTCTATAGTCCAGACTATAGACTACTCTACAGTCCAGAAAATAGACTACTCTATAGTCCAGACTATAGACTATTCTATAGTCCAGACTATAGACTATTCTATAGTCCAGACTATAGATTATTTTATAGTCCAAACTATAGACTACTCTATAGTCCAGATTACAGACTACTCTATAGTCCAGACTATAGACAACTTTATAGTCCAGACTATAGACTACTTTATAGTCCAGACTATAGACTACTCTATAGTCCAGACTATAGACTACTCTATAGTCGAGACTATAGACTACTCTATAGTCCAGACTACAGACTACTCTATAGTCCAGACTATAGACTACTTTATAGTCCAGACTATAGACTACTTTATAGTCCAGACTATAGACTACTCTATAGTCCAGTCTATAGACTACTCTATAGTCCAGTCTATAGAATACTCTATAGTCCAGGCTATAGACTACTCTATAGTCCAGATTATAGACTACTCTATAGTTCAAACTATAGACTACTCTATAGTCCGGACTATTGACTACTTTATAGTCCAGACTATAGACTACTCTATAGTCCAGACTACAGACTACTCTATAGTCCAGACTATAGACTACTCTATAGTCCAGACTATAGACTACTCTATAGTCCAGACTATAGACTACTCTATAGTCCAGACTATAGACTACTCTATAGTCCACACTATAGACTACTCTATAGTCCAGACTACAGACTACTCTATAGTCCACACTATAGACTACTCTATAGTCCAGACTATAGACTACTCTATAGTCCAGACTACAGATTACTCTATAGTCCACACTATAGACTACTCTATAGTCCAGACTATAGACTACTCTATAGTCCAGACTATAGACTACTCTAAAGTTCAGACTGTAGACTCTGTAGT